CTAAATCCCTGGCCCTATGCTTAAATTTTTGAAGGAGAGGGGGAGAGGAGAGGAAGAAGATAAAAAAGAATTAAGATGTGTCATGTATGTGCACCAACTCCTCACAATGGATGCAATCATTATGGACTGCAACATGGACTAATAAAATAAAAATGTAAAGAAATTTTTGAGGGGGACTGGAGAGTACAGCTAAGTGGTAAAATGTGAGCTTAGCATGTGTTAGGTTCTGGGTTTGATCCCCAGCACTGCAAAAAATAAAAATAAATAAATATGTTTGAGGCAGAGCTGCCAAGCTGTTTTGCACAGCAGCTGCCCCGTTTAACATCCTGGCCAACTTGCAGGGTAATCGCCTGCTTCCCACCTATACTTACGTGTCTCATTGATGATAGTCATCCCTGTGGGCCAGAAGTGGTTTCTCATTGTGGTTTTGATTTGCATCTTCCTGAGGTCTAATTATGTTGCGTTCATATTCATGTGTTTATGGGCCATTTGTGTACCTTCTGTGGAGATGTTTCTATTCAGGTGATTGGCCCGAGTTCAGTGGATTATTTGCCCCTTTGTAACTGAGCCATAAGAATTCCCCCCACATTGGGGTGCAGAGATTGCAGTCAGGAATACTGGAAGACCAGCCCCGCCTCCACCCCTGTTAGATGAAGATTTCCGATGCATCTTCACTTTCTGGGTCTGGGGAAGCTTGCAGGGTGCTTAGCACAAAGAGACAAAAACAGGGTCAGGGCAGTGTGGGACAGGAGGCACTGGATGGGGAGTCCAGGGTGAGCTCTTGAGCCTCAGGTTTTCAATACATGGCAAAAATGCTTGGGCCAGGGATTTAGCTCAGTGGTTTCGCCACCTGCTGCACAAGCACAAGGACCCAAGTTCGATCCCCAGTACCAAAAAAAAAATGTTGGGTGTAGTGCTGCACACCTGAAATCTCAGCACTGGGGAGGCTGATGCAAGAGGTTCACCATTTGAGGCCAGCCCGGGCTACACAGTGAGACTCTGTCTCAAAAACAGCAATAACAAAAACCAAAGCAATAAAATACCCTGATCTCCCATTTCTTAGAAGAATCTACTCTATTTCTTTGGCAGATCACTTTGCCTCTCCAACCCTTACTCTTGTTGTCTATGAAGTAGGACAGCAAGGCTGGCTTGGTGGCACATACCTGTAATCCTAGCATTCAGGAGGTTGAGGCGGGAAGATTGCAGCCAGTTCGAGGCCAGTCTGAACCACATAGTGAGATCCTCAACTGAGATTCCCCTGGTCTGTGATGCAGCTCCCCCCCCCCCCCGCGCGCCCTTGGGTGTGCCTCATTCAGCCTTGCTGGGCAGGAAAATAGCAGCCAAAGCTGCCCTGAGGGTGAAGGGTTGGACCCCAGCTCCCAGTCTCTTGTGTCCTGCAGGTGTTGGGACTGAACACTCCACCTTTGGTCCTGTGACTTTCCCTGGAATCCAGGGGGAGGGAGTGCTGGCTTTGGCAGCACAGATACTAAAACTTGGGGAGGGACTCCCCCCCTCCTCATCCCCACGCACTAATTTTGGACTTAACCTGTAACATGTTCTGACTAAAGGCACATGAGCTGAGGTGACATTTTCTTTTTTCTTTTCTTTTTTTTTTTGGTACCAGAATCGAACTCTGGCACTTGTGCTTTTGGAGCAGGCAGCAGAACCACTGAGCTAAATCCCCGGCCCTGAGGTGACATTTTCCACATCCAAAGAGGCCTGGAATGCCCTCTAGTCCTCTACCATGCCCTGGCACACAGTAGGTCCTCACACTTATTTTTGTAGTTATTGTTATTGTTGCAGTACTGGGGATTGAACCCGGGGCCTTAACACTGAGCTACCTCCCCAGCCCTTTTTAAATTTTTAATTTTGAGAGGGTCTTGCTAAGTTACTGAATTGCCTAGGCTGGGCTTGAATTTGTGATCTTCCTGACTCAACCTCCCAAAGTACTGGGATTACAGCCTGCAGCACCACACCAGGCTTGGTGCAAATTTTTAACTACTGCCCTATGCTACTTCTCAAAACAGGTGATCAAGAAAGGCCTGTTAAGGACTGGGGATTTAGCTCAGTGGTTCTGGCACCTGCCGTGCAAGCGCAAGGTCCCGAGTTCAATCCCCGGTACAAAAAAAATAAAATAAAATAAAAGCCTGTTAAATAACTACCTACCATGTTGTTCCCTCTCCTTCACATGAATATGAAGGGTGCAATCCCCTAGGACACAAGTTAGCTCCTGACCTTGGACCTGGTTATTTTTCAACATGATTATGAAGAAGACGCTGGCAAACAGCAGAACTTCTGATTCTTCTGGAGAAAAGTTGCCTGTGGTTATCAGATGGAAACCCTACATATTCCCTGTAGGAGCCACAGGAGCCACAGGCTGTCTCTTGTAAATTGGGAATTCCAGACACATCCCCTAAAGTCCTCAAAGTGGATCCCAGAGCCCTCTTCTGAAGGCCCATGTGAACCTAGGTGTCTTTCCTGAGGCCCTGGGGGACTCCTCCCTTCCTCCTGGAAGAGCTGTGCTTTCTGATCTCTGCAGGTCCGAATCTGTCATCTCACTGGCTCCACCCACAGTTTCATCAATCAGCCTGGGCTTGAAATTTTTTTTTTTTAATGTTTTGGTTTTTGAGACAGATTCTTGCTATGCAGTTCAGATTGGCCTGGAATTCTCTATGTAGCTCATGCTGGCCTCAGACTTGCAGAGATCCTCACATGGCAGCTGCCCCAGTGTTGGGATTACAGGGAAGCACCACAACATCTGCCTAGGCTTGCATTATTGTAGATACAGAGAGCAGTGACATATGGGCAAGCTGGGGGTGGGACCAACAGAGAATCCACTTGCCCTGCCTGTCACCCAGGGCTCGCTCTTCCTGGTGGCCTGGAGGCAGATACCGCTTCCTGCTCAGCCTCTTCCATCCCCAAGGCTCCCTCTCTTCATCTTCCACTCCTGCCCTTATCTGCCTTTCTTCCCTCCCTCCCCTCTCCAGCCCAGCTGTGGGAGGGAGGCTCCTTGCCTGGCAGGCTGGGCCAGACAATGGGCCCTTATTCTGGGCAAAGAATCCCTGCAGTGTCTTCTGCCCATTGAGGCTGCTTCCAGGCCCAGGGTGGTGTGGGTGGGGGTGGAGGTTTCTGGGTACTGTGGGGGAGGAGCAATTGGCTGGCAGGACAGAGAAGACCCTGGCTGTGGGAATCCCATAGGGGTTTACTATGTAAACAGCATGCTCAGTAAAACTCTGTCTTGTGCTGCAGCCCCATCTCTCCAAGTAGACCCCCTGGAGTTTTTAAAGATTTGCCCTGCTGTCTACTCTGTTGGTATGTATCTCTCCATGGTACTATCTCCTTTTCCAAGACTCCTCTCATGAGTACTGAGGACTGAACTCAAGGCCTTTGCTCTGAGCTACATCCCAGCCCTTTTTTTAAATTTTTTACTTTGAGACAGGGTCTTGCTAAATTTCCCAAGCTGGGCTTGAACTTGTGATCTTCCTCATTCAGCCTCCCAGAGTTATGGTGTCACAGGGAATTCCCAACCTGTTAGATGTCAAATGTGCTGAGTTGGTGTCTCATGATATCAGAGAGTGGATTCAAGGAAAAAGGAAGTTAAAAGTGGGAAAGGTTTATTGAGAGAAAGCTCCTGAGAGACAGGAGAGGTCCCAAGTTGGTTGCCACCAAAGTTCTTTGTTCAAAGGTATTTTGTAGAGCAGAATTGAAACATGGGTTAAACTAAAATCAACCTAAAGGATCACAAGTATAGTTGCTTAGGTACTATTGATCCAATAGGCAAGCCAGGCAGAATAGCAAGGCTGTATGGCAGGCATTATTAACCTTGGCTTATCTGTTACTTCTGACATAGAAAGAACTAGGGCATCCCTGGAAAGGGATAGGAGTGTGGTCAGGGTGTTCTGGTCACCCACCTGTGCTGATGCCTGTCTGGGCTCAGTGAACCAGGTGGTGCCAATTACAGTACAATCTCAAGCTGCTGTTTATCTCTAGGGAGGCCTGCAGGCCTGGATCTTGTGTCTCCATCCTGAGGCCTGGCTGTCTTTAAATTCACCCCAGCTGCAGTTTTTTGTTTTTTGTTTTGTGTTGTTGTTGTTTTGGTACCAGGAATTGAACTCAGGACCTTGTGCTTTCAAGGCAGGTATGGTGTCACTGAGCTAAATCCCCAGCCCCACCCCAGCCACAGTTTTGTTTTGTTGTGGCTTTTTTTTTTTTTGGTGCTGGGGATCGAACTCAGGACCTTGCGCCTTCGAGGCAGGTGGTGGAACCGCTGATCTAAATCCCTGGCCCCCAGCCACAGTTTTGATGTGCCTCATCCTCTGCACTGACTCCCTCCAGGATCCCTCTCTGACCACCTATTCACTTCTGTCTCACTTAGCTATCTGTAATACTGGGGTTACAGGTATAACCACCCCCAGCTCTCTTTTCTTTCCATGTCTGTCTTTCTGCAGTCTGAGTGTCCGTATCTCTGTGTCATCTTTATCTCTTCACATCACTTGGAGCCTTTAGATCTGAGGACTTTCTCAGTTGCCACAATCTCTTGCTTTCTTTCTTTAAATTTTTTTTGTACCAAGAATCAAACTCAGGCCCTTACGCTTGCCATGCAGGCACAGTGCCTCTGAGCTACATCTTCGGTCCTCTTTCTTTTTCTTTTCAGTAAAAAAATCACTTTTATTTCAATCCACTGATGGTATTTGATGACATTTCTGTTATTAGGCTTTAAAATGTGCTTTTAAAAATGTCCTTTACGTATTAAATGATTAAGTACAAATTTTCTGCTCTCAAAGCTCTTTCCTGTTCCTTCCTGGGATGCCAAGAGAGGTCTTTCTCCCCAGTTTACAGATCTGGAAACTGAGGCAATGGCCAGCACCCCATATCTGGGTCTCTTCACCCGGTGGGGCTAGGACTAGGGTGGCAGCACCTCGGACAGCTTCCCGGGCCCTGCGGCCGTGGGCTTCTCGCGAGAGCGATCGGCTACCAGGCGCAGGGTGGGAGTCTCGCGAGAGTGGCTGCGGAGGCTAGCGGGGGCGCGCTAGGATCGGGTCCCCGGCGCGCGCTTCCCCAGCCCGCGCGGCTCAGCGCCGCCTCGCTTGGTGCAGCGCAGCATCTGGGGTGAGTGCGCCCAGCGGGGATGGGACGGGAACGAGGACGGGGATGGGGATGGAGGCCGGTGCAGCTTTGAACCCCGCCTAGCTGCCGTGGTGCAGAGTCGGGGTGACCTTCCCTGCGCATCCCCTCCTAAGCCCCTGCTGTCCCCATCCTCGGCCGGTCGCGGGACCCGGGGGCCCAGTGACGTCAGATGCTTGATCCCGGGGCCCTGTCCCCCCCATCCTCCCTTGGGACCCGGGATGGGAGAGCGGGAGTCCCTTTCTCTCCTAGGCGCCCAGGTGACCCGGGTGTCCACACCCTCCCTCCCCAGCGGCGACCTTCGGATGAGGGATCGGAGCCATCCCGGGGCTCCTTACTTGGGCCTGGACCCCACCCGGGCCTGGGTAGTGGGTTGGGGGCGCTGCATGTAGCCGGTCACGAGGAAAGAGGGGAGGTGTGTGGAGACCAATCCCTGTGCGCCTCGGAGAGCTGCTGCCCAGGGGTTGGGAGAACCAGGTGGAGACTGCGAAGAGCACTGGCCATCGCAGGCAGTGCAAGTCCATCGTGTCCCAGCTCCCCATGGGGAAATCAGAAGGCCTGGCCGACTTTCCCGGGGGCCAGTGAGAGAGGCAGGTAGGGCCGGTGAGCAGGAGACTGGAGGAGGTGAGATCTGGATGGAAAGAAAGGCAGGATAGGGGTGCCACAGGCCAAGGCGGAGAGGTAGGAACAAGCACCCTCCCCCTTCCTGAGCCCAGCCCTGTGACCCTCCCCGGGAATGGGGGAATTGGATAGTTTTCCAACCTGTGCTCTCCCCATTCTGCCTGCACACTCGGGGCTGTGAAAGAGGGAGATGGTTCTGGCAGGGTTGTGACTGGCAGAAAGGTCTTGTTTGGGGCTCTGCGGGGTTGCTAGCTTAGTTCCACCAGAGCCCAGTGAGTCTGAGAGCAAAGCCTGCACTGCGGAGAGGCCCATTGCTGCCAAATGGCCCCAGAGGAAGGACCTCTTAGTCTAGCACAGCCTGTGAAGCCACCGGGGTCCTGGAGGGAAGTCCTGATAAGGGCCTGGGGCTCAATGGTGGTTTCTTTAGTCCTTTGCCTGCTGGCTACCTCTGAACACGCTGGTTTCCCTCTCTGGACATCTTTCTGCCCGAACCTCTCTATAGAGACAGAATGACAAGACCAAGTAGCGCCCTCCCTCAAGGAAGCTCCTTTTTTCTCCCCAGTTCTCCTCTTCCTTTTCCCTCTGCCCCCTCCCTGTAGCACTTCCTCTGCAGGCTTCACTTCCTGTCCTGCTGGCAGCCTGGAGACCCTGTGAGTTTCCTGGAGGAAGTGTGATCAGCAGGGTTAACTGAAGCTGTGACCTTTTCCTGTTAGGAGAAGGGCATCAGTTTCTCCACCCCCATCCTTGGGACAGTGTCCAAGTTTTCAGTCATTGCTGAATACAGATCAACTATGCTCTGTGGGTCCCCTTAGAAGCCATCTGTGGGAGACTGGGGATGAGATTGGCTGAGGATGGGCAATTGCCAAGTGCCCAGCAACTGGTTCAGAATTGGTACAGTGGGCTGTAGAGCAGGGCTGTCTAGAACAGCTTCTAGGAAGAGGGAGGATGTGAGGAAATGCTAGCATTTAGAGGCTGCTGGTTTGGGACACTGGGAACAGACAGGGAGGCAGACAGGATCTTCTGCATGGGGCTGAGGATGTAGGAAGCCAATCAGCCCATGGTAGAGAAGCCAAGAATGGCAGGGAAGGAGGTTTGTAGCTGACTGGCACAAAGCCTTGAATACCAGGCACAGGATTTGTAGGAGGCTACTGAGGAAGTATCAGAAGAGAGCGCTGGCATGGCCCAGCATGTGCTGCTTTCTGAGGATGAGTCATAGCCCCAGACTTCAGGGCTGTGATGGGGCTGGGAGGGAGTTGATGGGACCAGAGGTGGCAGAAGGAGGAAGACCCCATCTTAGCAGGTAGACTCTGTGGATAGAAAGTCACCCTTTCTGTGCCAGGGATGAGAGGTTCATGACAGGGAGCTGGGGGCCTGGGAGCCAGCCCTGGTCTCTGCACTGACCTGTGGCCAGGCTTGACTACTTGGACCTCATTCTCCTCCTGTAGCACCTTCTGTTTTCCCAGCTTCCCAGTAAGGGATAGGATAAAACACAGTTGGGGAGGGCCAGAGATTTAGCTCAGTGGTTCCACCTCCTGCCTTGCAAGCACAAGGTCCAGAGTTTGATCCCTGGCACCCCCCCCCCAAAAAAGCCACAGTTGGGGTTTCCTGAACAAGGGTGAGGTTGTATGTGCTACGTTATTGATAATTAAAGAGATGTTTCCTTAGGCCACACTTTTAGGGAGATATGTAGCACCCCCCACCCCATTATAAAGATTCTCAATTGAGGAGCAAATTGCTAATTGTTTTTTCTTTCTTTTTTTGGTTTTCTTTGAGACAAGGTCTTGATATGTAGTTCAGTCTGGCCTTGAGCTCACTGTGTAGCCCAGGCTAGCCTCAATCTTGCAGTAATCTTCCTGCCTCAGCCTCCCAAGTGCTGGGATTACGGGCATGTGCTGCTACTTGTGTTTTGCAGTCTGAGAATTTTGATTGCAAAAGTCAGAGATGGGTTGCTGGATATGGTGGTGTACACCAGTAATCCAAGCACTCGGGGAAGCTGAGGAAGCTGAGGTAGGAGGATCACTCCAAGTTCGAGGCCAGCCTGGGCTACATAGTCAGTTCAGGGCCAGCCTGAACTACAAAGTGAGACCCTGCCTCAAAAATAAAAAGTCAGAGATGGCTGTCACCTCCTTACCCTACTCCCTACCTGCAAGTAAAAGGCCCCAAGGCCCAGAGCCTTCTATTCGTAGACCCTAGCCTGCTCCAGTTCTCCCAAGCCCTAAATTCTCTCTGTCCTAACCTTCATATGAAAGCAGGCAGCTTTACCTTAGACTCTGGCTTCTTCTCTGAATCATCCATATGTTAAAAAAAAATTTTTTTATTAGTTTATGTTTGCATATACGCTGATTACATTCATTGTGGGAAGCTGAGATGGGTACATGACACGTCTTTCTTTTTTTTTTTTTTTTGGTACCAGGGATTGAACTTGGGTCCTTGCACTGGCACAGCAGGCGGTGAAACACTGAGCTAAATTCCTGGCCCTACATGACACATCTTAATTCTCTTTATGTCCCCTTCTCTCACCCTCCCTTCCATCTCCATCCATCTCTTGGTACTGTTCCTTTTGCAGAAGATCTCTCTCCTTGTTTCCTTTTTTTTTTTTGGTACCAGGGATCAAACTTGGGACCTTGCACTTGCGAGGCAGGCGCTGGAACCACTGAGCTAAATCCCTGGCCCTCTCTCCTTGTTTCCTATTATCTGTCTTCTATTTTGCTCTTTATTTATGCTTTGGGTTTCTCATATAAAAGAAGCCATGCAATATTGAAGCTTGTGTTTCTGATTTATTTTATTTAACATTATGGCTTCAAGGTGCATCCATTTCCCTATAAATGACTCCAATTTATCCTTTATGGCTCTGTAGTGCTTCATTTATATAACACCACATTTTCTTTATCCATTCATCTCTTGATGGACATATAGGCTGCTTTCAAGATTTAGCTATTATGAGTTGTGCTGCTATAACTGTGAGTGTGCTTTGGGGAAGATACCTAGAAGAGAAGTAGCTAGGTTGAATGAAATTTCTATTTTTAATTTATTGAGGAATCTCCATACTGATTTCCATAGTTGTTGTACTAGTTCACACTCCTACCAACAATGTAGAAGGGTCCCTTTTTCCCTGCATCCTCGCCAGCATTTGTTGTTACTGATTTTCTGATGACAGCCGTGCTTTCTGGAGTTTTCTGGAATCTCTTGTTCATCCATACCTGGCTGCTCTGACTTCTCTGTGCCTGGGGTCACCTTTGAGACAGCCTGGGTCCAGGACCAGGAGTCTGGCTGGAGCCGGGGCTCAAGGAGCAGATCCTGTGAGGCTCCCACCGTGTAGTTATCCCCCCCTCCCTGTTTCCCACCAGCCACATCTGAGTATGGTCATCTTTGGTGCGTGGCCACCAACCCCAGTCTCCTTCTCTGGCCACCATGTAGCTCCTGCTTTACTTGTCTGTGACCTCACGGAGACCCCCAGCCCTGACATCTCCACTTTCTCCATCCCATATGCGTTGACCCTTCTGGTCCTTCCTGGACTCCATGCCCTCAATTGCCATGGTTGTTCCACCCCACAGCAGCCCCTGCTTTTAGGTTCCCCACTGAGAATGTGTCAAGCTCCTGGAGACCAGGACAGACTAGGGCAGTCTGGTGCTGTTTCAGGCACAGTCTCCTGCCCAGGTCATCTCTCCATCCCTTGGAGAAACACTTGCTGTTCCCAGAGCCCCAGACAGGGCCACTCTGCCAGAGTACTTTACTCATGAGAGGGCGGTTGGGCTGCATGTGGCAGGGGGAGCACATGTTTCTGCTTCTCAAATCCCAGCAGAAGGAAGCACCTTGTTCAGTACATACCCCTTCCTCTGCCGTAGATGCTGCCCCTCTCTCCCGAGGTCCCATGGCTGGCAGTTATCTCTCCCTCGGCCAAACCTGCAACTTCTCCACTGCTTATAAATATGCTCATCATGCCATGCCAGCACTGAAAACAATTTGATTTTTTTGAATCTTGCACATTCAATTTATTTATGCTGTGTATATATATAAAATGGAACAATTACAGCATGGTTAACAAACCAGGAGCAGACATGTGTGATCCATCCAAGTTCACCCACTGATGTCTTCAACTATGTAATGTCCCACTCCCTCACAAAATGGGGATGACTTTCCACTCATGATTTGACTTTATTTATTTTATTAGTACATAATGATCACATTCCACCTGGGGAGTTGGTACATTTACATAACACATCTTTTTTTTTTTTTAAATACAAATGCATGCACTTTATTTTATCTTATTTTTATTTTTATTTTTTTTGGTATCGGGGATTGAACTCGGGTCCCTGCGCTTGCAGCAGGCAGCAAAAGCACTGAGCTAAATCCCTGGCCCTTAC